GATGAAAATTCATTTTCTTCAAATATTTTATAATACATGTTTGACACACTTTGTATTATTGATCATGTTCTCTCATGTTGATTCACCTCCAAATGTTGTTGCGCACGATTTCCGGTCACTCTGTATGTAAAGTTGCGTTAAATAAACTGTATGTTATACAATCTATTAGTCACCAATGAAACAAAGATCCCATTTTGTCCGAAAATTGTGTGCAAGGACAGAGGAATACATTGATGGAAAATAGTTTCATCCACGGACATATTTTTTACTTGGACTTGAATCGTTTGAGGTGTCTATAGTTGTATAGTTCTTCAAATTCGATATTTTGAGAACACATGAACTCCATCGTTGAAAGAAAAGTAGACAATATGTTTTTCTTGATAACATTGTAAATAGGTAAGATCACTGCCTATAATCAATGTATTGATCAAAAATATCCCAATGAGTGACTCATGGAATCATAAAGACCGTATACAACTAAAATAATTATGAACATTGCAGACTACTTGACCATGACAGAAAATTGATCTGCGATCAATTAGTTGGTGTTTATTACTCCAGCATGTCGCATTCGAGACCATTCCACTTGCTTTCTGTATGTTTATGTTTTTCTCTAGTTAATTACTTAGTTACATTTTAATGACAGCGAGTTGGGTAAATTGAATCATTAAAAATGATTATTTCTTCTCGTAAAATTATTCTTTCGATTTTATTGCCCTAGTCATTCGAGTTCGAGATTGAAACATGTTTCAGTAGTATCTGTCAAAGTATTGTTAAACCTGCTTCATGTTGCAAAGTTGATTTTTAGAGAATATTCAACATCAAGATATCAAACTGTCCCTATTTCGACATCCACTACCTGAAACTCTCCTTTGAGTCTATTAACAATATGTCTGGAAACCCTCTGTGGAGGAATTTTAAATATATTCCATCATAGCATTCGTAGCTAGATTTTCAACATGTTCAATATGATTTGTCCCTTGTACCTACATCCCCTACCAGGAATGTTCAATGAATTGTGTATCCGAATATAATGACAAAGTCTCCTCAACATAATCCTTCATTTTTCGATTTATCTAACAAAAGTTCGAATTCCTTCAGCACTGCTTCCTGGCGATGAAGAACTCCTATTATCAAATAAATGTACTAACTCCATAATATTGAGAATGTATTGAAAAGAGCAATAAACAGTAGAATAAACAAAAATATATCATTAGGAAGTTACGTTACAACAGAGAGAATCGAAAACTAAATGAAATGAGCATGCGCCAAAAATAATTACAGAACGGTTCACGATCGCGAGCAGGTACTGGTTTCGGATAGTTCTAGGACCGTCCCAGGACGATTCTGAAAAAAACCCTAAGGCCTAAAGAGTCAGTCCTAGAACAGTTCCACAAAACCCGAACGCGACCGATTCTACTGCACAAACTCCTGACAGTTTTGGAGGAGTCGTTTTCATTTTCAAATTGAAGCAATTTCTAATTTTCGGGGAGGCAAACTGTGACGTACATTCTGAATCTAGTCTGAAAATAGCTGATGGTGAAGAATATAGCTAGCGGATAGCTAACGAATGAAACGAATGAAAAAAATATAAGAAGAAGTAAAACTGGTAAACAAAGACATAAATAACCACATATGCACTCGGAGCAGGAATGCAGAAGGTAGTTGGCTTCATTATGACAGGTTATGGTTTTGTTATTTATGCATTGAAATATCTCCAATAGAACTCGATCCTGAACGAAAATATCATTGAATCACTGTCGGCTACATTCAATGATACTATCCTTCCTAATTTACTGCCATCGGTCAGAACAGAATGAAGCCGACACCCATGGCTCCTTCCTCTTGTTGTGCCTGTCAGGATTTTGAGTGGTGTGGACGGACTCGAAGTATTAGGCGCTGTTGCAAGATATAATCTGCAACTTTCCTAGAAAATAGATCCCTATTTATTAAGGAACGAATTCATTAGCAAAAAATGACTGTTGAGTTATGAATAACATATTGTAATATAACGATAGTGAAAAATTATAGATACTATCGCAAAATATCATAATTTATCTTCATTAGTTATCACCTTCATTCAGCCAATGAGAGATTTATGGAAATTATTCATAATACTTGACAAAGTAGGATTGAAGATCATATTGTGTTCCATTGCTGTTATGATATAGTTATTATGCATTCAAAGAACAGTTTCCGGAAATCTAGACATATTGATGATGTCGACAACGTCGTACTGGCACAGAAGTGAAATTTGATCTTACGAAAAAAAGAAAAAATACGTATATATTATTTTTATACAAACTTTACAGTTAGATGAATATCTCAATATAGGAAACTTCCCCATTGTTTGAACAAGAATGAACCTAAAAACAATTTTTGATTTGTCACTCGGTGTCAATTTTTTACTTTTATATTTTCAATAAAAACTACGTTAGAAGACTTTCAACTGACTGTTTGACCTTTTGCCGACGACTACACTACAAGTGGTACAGTCGTCTTCAGAAAACATGTCGCACATGGACGATGATAGAATTCTTAATAACTCCTGCAATAAGAGCGCTGACACCGGTCAACCGCGACATGATCTCTGAAGACGACTGTACTTGTTCTTTATTAGTACCTAGTGAATCTCTTCAAGGTTGGCGAATATTGAGTAGGTGTTCTGTATTCCAGTAGCAGCAATTGTTCTATTTTAAATTCGATTATAAAATCATTTGAATATTAATTGAATTAATTGATTCAATGAATAAAGTAAGCTAACAATAAATTGTACATACCTTGCGTTATTCATTCATTTCCACCACCGACTTGATTATATAAAAAAATATATCGAGCCAGATAAGCTAAATATAGACCTACTATCAAAAAACATATTCCGTATTTCAGCACAAAATTCCACTTACTTACCAGAAAGTTTAAATTTCATATCATGATTTGTATAATCCATGTTGTCATACAATTAAATCATATTGAATATAAATAGCGAGGTAGGAGGAGGTTGAATAACAGAAAAATGAAATTATATTTAGAAAATATAATTTTAATTTCATATATTTTATTCAACTCCATTCGGTTTAATCGCTTGCTACCGGGGATTTTGTTTGCATGGTTCTTCTATACCGTGTACCATATAGTCCAATAAATGAAGGTGGAAAAAAAGGCAAAGTTAACGTTAATTACGCACTATTTTCATCTTCCGGTTGGAACTAGCTTTTGGTACCTCATTAAACATGAGACAAAGTTTGACTGGAAAACGCGTGCGATGGCGGAGAAAATGGCCCCAAAAGACCAGAAAAATAGGTTTTCAGCCAATATGTCCTAAAATATAGCAGTAAGAGATTTTCGGTTCAGATAAAAATTGAAGTTCAGTTAATTTTCTACAAAAATGGTCCTCATCATTTTTCTCGAAAATTTGCCCGGTTTCGAGAAAAACTGCACGAATAATGAGCTTCTGTGTTGTATGCCGGAGAGCACATCAGTCCTTGACCCCGCTTTTTCTAATTTTATTAAAAAATGGACGACTTCGTCTAAAAAAGTAATTGCACAATCGAAAAGAGACCTTCTCAGCTTTCAAATGATGTATCATAGAAACCAATCGGATCATGTATAAATGTTTAATTGATGGTTGTTCACAAAATTTCCCCGCGCTCCAAAAACAGCAAAAAATTGGGATTCAATAAACAAAGATTAAATGAAAATTTAAAAAATCAGGGTGTACAAATTTCAGGGATGACAACGGACCTTATGAGGACCCATAATCAAGAAAATTTTGAGTAGATTAGTGCAATACAAAAAAAAATGGAACAAATTCCTGGCGAGGTCAAAATTGACCGGGAGCAGAAAGTTTGACCCATGTTCCGATATGGCCAAAAGAGTCAAGCGTGACTCGATTCACAGGGTATGATAGCAGCAGAATTCCTCTTTCACATGAACTTTGAATCATGAGAAAACATGCATTTTTAACAAAGTTAGTGAATAATTTGTCCCCCCGCCGATGTGTAAATACACGGACTGTGCTCTCCGGCATACAACACAGAAGCTCATTATTCGAGGTGCGCTTCGTGCCGTTTTTCTCGAAACCAGGCAAATTTTCTACAAAAATGGTCCTTATCATTTTTCTCGAACTTCAATTTTTATCTGAACTGAAAATCTCTAACTGCCATATTTTAGGAAATATTGGCTGAAAACCTATTTTTCTGGTCTTTTGGGGCCATTTTCTCCGCCATCGCACGCGTTTTCCAGTCAAACTTTGTCTCATGTTTAATGAGGTACCAAAAGCTACTTCCAACCGGAAGATGAAAATAGTGCGTAATTAACGTTAACTTTTTCCCTTTATTTATTGGACTAATAGATTAAAACGGCCGGTATCTAACCTAATGAAATTTAAAATAGCTTTATTATGATTCATGATCAGGAATAGGCGATAGCGTCCAGTTTTTCGAAGTAGTATGATGTCTATACACACAAAAATACACTGGTGTTTATCATTATTCCTCAAACAGATAAGGTTGACGAAAAACTTGATCGCTGTTCACTTGTGCCACTAAAACAGACAAGCATTGGCGCCATTTACAACAACATGTGTGATGGCTCATAACGCAAGCCTCAGTTCTGACTCAGTTCACATTGGTACGCGCCAGTTTTTTAAATTTTAAAAGAATTTTTTTTTGTCGGTTGGAGCGCACGAAAGAAAATCCCAATAATGTTCGAAGAACATCGTGGGTACCTAGGGAAGATAGGGTGAGGAGGTAGGTATTGGGGTTTTTTTGTTCTCGGGAATACCAGAATTAGATGATGTATATTATGATGTGGTTACAGAAAGAATCTACGTTGATAATTTTTTTTGTAGGAAATCAGGGGGGCAATTGCTCCCCTCTGCCTCTCCTGAATAATGCCCATTGGCATCCTGTATATTAAGAACCAAAATTGATAAGTTATGAACGATTATTTGCATATGCAATAATTGGTTACCTTGATATCATTTTTATTTGTTGCAGGTAGCCAGCTTAGCTGGTCTTTAGAAGGATGACGACAGACATCAGCATAGTGAGGTGGGACCCCACCTTGCAGCAAGAAATAGTCGAAGATTACGAATACGACGGTGGAAATTCTTCATCGAGGCTCTTCGAAAGGTCTCGGATAAAAGCATTAGCAGGTACGATTTTTTTTTCAATCTAGAAATGCTCACAATATTTTGTACTACGTACCAATAGTAATATTCTTTTTACCAACTTTGACTGAGATTAACCAAGATTCTCAGTGCAGCTCAATTGCTCAGTTGTATTACATGTTTCATTTATCTTAGTCTGATGTGAGTTGTCTTCAGAACTTATTGAGAAAGACTATTTCTTTCCCCTCACCCCAACTGAGCTTGCTATTCATCTGGTGTTGTAGTGAGAAAAAGGTGAGACTGGATTAATTCTAGTAATTCTGTGGTTCTGTGCTGAAAATTGTGAGTTTATATTTTCATTTTGACATGCTTTCAGCTTTGAAGTTTCAGTCCACTGGTCAAATCCTTTGAATACTCACTACAATAGTATTTCTATGTTCCTCATTAATTTCCTCAGCCATTTTACATTTTGGTTGAATTATGTTGGGTTATGTTTTCTTTCCTTGCCCTTCCTGACAGATAAAAACGAGTTCTTTTTATTCAATCGACAACTCAGCTCCGTCTCACCTCCTTCTAACTCAATTGATCTCAGTAGTGAGAATGTACATGAACAAATCTTGATATTGATTTTATGATTTTGATGAAAGTTCCCTGCAGTGGAGGTCTAAAAAATCTATTAAAACTTTTGAATAAAGAACTTTCAAAATGTAGGATGGAACACACACAAAATACTAGATATCTCCGGAGGATATCACAACCTTTATGACAAAGCCAATTCATTAATGGAAAAACTTTTATTTCGAGTAGAGGAAGTAAACTAACTGTTGGGGAAAATCAATTGATATTTCATCAAACATTTCAGCTAAGAAAACAATGAGCCTTGAAAGGTTTCTCTGTTTGACTACATTTTTATATCACAACAAAACTTCAAAAGGAAATAATGAAACAACATGCTAAGTTTTTTTTCTCTCTATTTGAATGTAAAGAAAATGTATCCAAAGTGCTTATTGTGAATACCAACGAATTTTAGTGAATGGAATACCTTGAAATATGTTTTTCACCTAAAAGAACGAGAGAATTCAAACGATTAGACATTGCCGCCAAAACGTGTGACGTCTGTGTGCGAGCAATTTGGATTGGTAATGCATTGATGAAATAAACCTCTGGTGTACGCACTTCAATCCTTTCCTGTTTTACAATTCCTTGATTTTCGCCTACTTCGATGAACATAACATGGCGTGGGTGAATGTCGCTAAATTTAGTCTGGTGCCGTACCAAAATTACAGGCATCAATGTGACAATTGTGACCGAATTGTAACCAATGAAGATAGGGAATACATTTTGCGATTTAGCCGCATCAAGGTTGGTAGAACTGATGTTGATCATAAGTTCTAAGAATCACGCCATCTAACATTCGATATGTGAACCCCACGTCATCGTCTGAAATTCAATTGTTCATATCAAGAACCAGTCTGACGAAACAAATGAAGAGTGAGCGCACCAGAGGTTTATTTCATCAATGGTAATGCCCTCACCTTCTCACGGGTGCCAATAAAATACAGGGCTTTTCACGATGAGCGTTAATTAGACGTTTCTGGCAAACCAGATAACGGATCATTCTGAAAATTCAATAGAGGGCATATTCGGACATTCTCTAGCCAACTAAAATATTTTCGACAATGTGGTGTTGCCGCTTCTATTAGAAAGCAGTAGCAACTTTCATTTTTCAAATAGAACACTCTGTATTTTATTGAATTTTTAGATCCTCCCTGAAGAGCTGATTTCATCGATGTATCACACTTGGGGTCTAGCGGAAATGATTACAGAGATATAGGGTGTGAAAAATCGACATTTTTCAACTTTAGGATTTTTTTTTGTCGAAACTATTCATTATTGGTCAAAACGGCTCACATGTCCCTATCTCAACTTTTGATCAACTATCTACTAACATTTAATTGAAACAAATACAGGGTGGTGCAGAATTCAGAATCTTGATCACCCGGTATATGTCCCAATTAAATATCAGTAGATAGTTAATCAAAAGTTGAGTTAGGGACATGTGAGCCGTTTTGACCAATGATGAATAGTTTCGACACAAAAAAATCCTAAAGTTGAAAAATGTCGATTTTTCACACCCTATATCTCTGTAATCATTTCCGCTAGACCCCAAGTGTGATACATCGATGAAATCAGCTCTTCAGGGAGGATCTAAAAATGCAATAAAATACAGAGTGTTCTATTTGAAAAATCAAAGTTGCTACTGCTTTCTAATAGAAGCGGCAACACCACATTGTCGAAAATATTTTAGTTGGCTAGAGAATGTCCGAATATACCCTCTATTGAATTTTCAAAATGATCTTTTGTCTGGTTTGCCAGAAACGTCTAATTAACGCTCATCGTGAAAAGCCCTGTATACAAGCGCCTATTCCCACGGTGTCACAATTCGTCGTATCGATTTGTCACTAAAACACAATGAGACTATTTTGAAGAACTCGTCGAGCGCCATTCAGAACTTCTATCAAAACTGTGCAGTTCTTTGGAATTATTTTTTCATCGAATGTGTTAGTTTTTTGAGGTCGGTACCTTATGACAGCTGATAAATGAAAAAGTATCGATTTGTCACTATTTTGAAGAACTCGTCGAGGGCTACTCAGAACTCCCATCAGAACTGTTCTGTTCTTTGGAATAATTTTTTCATCGAATGTGTTAGTTTTTTGAGGTCGGTACCATATGACACTTATGTGAAGTGGGCACCGACTTTTTTGAAAAACTGATTTTTCATCGGAGTTCTGGATAGATACGATAGAGTTCTGGAGTTCCTGACAAAAAAATTCAATAGTTCTGGTTAATTGTAGAAAATAACCGAAAAACAAAATTGTGGGTGCTAACTTCACGCGGCGCCGCTTTTTTCACAGAAAAAAGTTCTGATGAGAAATTTAGACGTATTTGAAAGAGTTCTGGAGTTCCTGATATATTTCAACGATAGTTCCGGCAAAATAACAAAGTTATTCCTATTTTTAATAGGGACATTCATACGCTCATGTAGCATCCACCACTTTCTAAAGTTCGGATCGGAGTTCTGGGTAGCACCAGTCGAGTTCCACATACTGTCTAGGTTACTTTTTTTTCTAAAATCGAAACTAGTTTTCATGAGCGAAAACAAGGGACCGACTGGGAAAAAAATTTTTGTGAAAGATTTGGAAAGGAGAGACAATAGAGGAGTTCTGATCGGAGTTCTGGGTAGCATCAGTCGAGTTCTACATACTATCTAGGAACCTTTTTCTCTAAAATCGAAACTTTAGTTTTCATGAGCGAAAACAAGAGACCGACTGAAAAAAAAAAGTTTTGTGAAAGATTTGGGAAGGAGAGACAATAGAGGAGTTCTGATCGGAGTTCTGGGTAGCACCAGTCGAGTTCTACATACTATCGAGATAACTTTTTTCTCTAAAATCGAAACTTTAGTTTTTATAAGCGGAAACAAGGGACCAATTGAAAAAAAATTTTTTTTTTCAGTCGGTCCCTTGTTTTCGCTCATGAAAACTAAGTTTAGATTTTAGAAAAAAAAGTTACCTAGATAGTATGTGGAACTCGACTGGTGCTACCCAGAACTCCGATGAGAACTAATCTATTGTCTCTCCTTTCCAAATCTTTCACAAAACTTTTTTTTTCAGTCGGTCCCTCGTTTCCGCTTATAAAAACTGAAGTTTCGATTTTAGATAGTAAAGAGAACTCGATTGGTGCTACCCAGGACTCCAATCAGAACTCCTCTATTGTCTCTCCTTTCCAAATCGTTCACACAACATATTGTTTTCAATCGGTCCCTCTTTACCGCTTATAAAAACTGGTGTTTTGATTTTAGAGAAAAAAGTTATCAAGATAGTATGTAGAACTCGACTGGTGCTACCCAGAACTCCGATCAGAACTCCTCTATTGTCTCTCCTTTCCAAATCGTTCACAAAACATTCTTTTTTTCAATTGGTCCATCTCTTCCGCTTATAAAAACTAAAGTTTTGATTTAAGAGAAAAAAATTAACAAGATAGTATGTAGAACTCAACTGGTGCTACCCAGAACTCCGATCAGAACTACTCTATTGTCTCTCCTTTCCAACTCTTTCACAAAAATTTTTTTTTCAGTCGGTCCCTTGTTTTCGCTCATGAAAACTAGTTTCGATTTTAGAGAAAAAAGTTACATAGATAGTATGTGGAACTCGACTGGTGCTACCCAGAACAATAAACCAGAACTATTGAAATTTTTTGTCAGGAACTCCAGAACTCTATCGTATCTACCCAGAACTCCGATAAAAATTCAGTTTTTCAAAAAAGTCGGCGCCAACTTCACATAGGTCCATATGACAGCTGATTTTTTTTTAGATTCTTTATTTTCTGATGATTTTCCTCCTTTTTATTATTTTTTTTATTATTCAATAATCTGCTTAGTTCACCAGAACTATTGATGAAATTGGTTTAGAACTCCAGAACTCTTTATAATACAACAACCAAAAATATCACGACTCATTTTCTCTAAAAAAAAGGCGCTGCGTGAAGTTCGCGCTTATTATTATTTTTTACCATTTACGTCTACGATTTGCTGAAACTATTCAAAATTTTAGTCAGGAACTCTAGAACTCCATCAAATCTACTCGGAATTTTGAAAAAACCGGTGCCAACTTCACATGAGTGGAGGATAGGGAGAGGAGGTTGGTATTGAAATTTTTTTAACTTTTGGAGGTTCTTGGTTCTTGGGAATATTTCCATTGGCAAAGAATTCCAAAGTTTTGCCGTTCTATAGACGGACGAGTTTTGGTAGAGTGTTGTTCGACATATTCCAAGGTTGACAAGGATGTGCTGACTGAGTATATTATATTTATAATAATCAAATCAAAACGGGGTTGGTAACGTTAGTTTAGTCAACCAAATATATAGCCGGACATTTTGGGAATGCGAAGTCTACCATAAATCGTTGGTGAGATGAAATATATATGTTCATTTCATTTCAACTTTAACTGCTTGGTGGTGATAAGAATGAGTGACAGTTGTCCGACCAG